AGGTCCTCCATTTTTTTCGAAAACCACAAGACGCAAAAAGATAATTTAAAAGAGAAGCTCGTTCGAAAATCGCTTCAGCGGAGTTGCTTGGTGTCGACGGTCATCTCGTTTTCGGAACGGGCGACCCGATAGAGGGTTGTTCGGCTTCAAAGCTTGCATGACTTGGACTTTAAACGCCTATATCTATACCTATATATGTAGTATGCGGTATGTCAATATATTAAATAATTATATGAAGCCTGAAACCTGATAGGGTTAATCAGATTTCGGGTCTTCTCTATTGCACACAGTTTACGCTTGAGAAACAGAGTTGAAATAATAATATTTTCACATTGAATGTTTAAAACTAGCGTAGTGTGCATACAAAATTAGTAATATAAACCAGTTGGCTATGCATTTTAGACGACTGACCGTTAGTTCTACGCCGAGCCTTTTTATGAAAAATTTTGTGAGATTCTTAACGTTTCATCTATTATCAGGTATGAATGATAAAGAAGATAAAATCATACGAGCTTCGAATTTATTAAAAGTTTCCTCTGTAGAATAGCTGAGGGATTTTTCTTTATATATTGTAGCAGTTACATTCCTATGGGTTAACATGCTGTGAAGTTTATCTGAGGGCTTGTCGGGTCCGCAAGTAGTGATATATATATGTTTATAGAACAGAGACGAACACTAAGACAGTTCGCAATACTAAATTTGCCCTAAAAGAAAATTATTCAATGAGCTTAAAATCATTCTACAGTAACTGTTGCTAAACATAAGAAATGCTTTGAAGCTGCTATAAGTAAAAGTTTCTTTTCACAGGATTCAAAAATATGTATTGTGTTTATTGCATTTTCTTCTTTCTCTTGATTTTTCCTGCCAATAACAACCAACTTGGGGTTACAAAATTATGAAAATTTCTTCAATTATTTTCTTTCTTTCACTAATTTATCACAAAATCGCCGTACGCACGCACATCGAACTTTACTAAGCATGTATGTATGTATGTACATTTATTTGCGTTTTTACTCGAATTTATGTGAAAGATATTAAGGAAAAAACTTTATTTTCCTTCTTAAAAATCTACGCCAAAAAACGATACGCTCAAGGAATGTGGTGAAGATAATGTGGATGTGGTGTTATATCTATGCGAGTACATACGTATGTATGTAAGTATGAGTTTCAGCAGCAAATTAATCAACGACAAACGCTCTGGCATTTGCAGGCGTTGATGTAACGGGAAAACTTTCTAATGACAAAAAATTTTACTCAACCAACAAATGTTGGCCAAAGCGAGTGCTGCGCGATTATTGTACTAGCATACGATGTGCACATACATATATATGCATATATAAATGTATAAAAATATTATTGTATGCATGCCCAGCAAACCACTGCAGGTCAAAATACTAGTTGTCAAACTAGAATCCAACTAGTATACACCAACTAGTTCATCTTCATCAATTTTCTATGTAAGCAACGGGTATTTTTAACACAGCGTGTGCTACTATGCATCAGCGTCATACTAGTTTTATACTAGTTCATTTAGGCATGTTAAATTTCGACTTCATCAAAAAAAAAATGTCTTTGCCGGCTGCGAGAATCGCACCACAGTGAAGATCTCTAACCACTCTGCTATTATGACGACGTAATGAGTAGCGGCATTTTGAGCTCTTTAATAAAACAGAGAACGGAGTTCAGCCGTGGCGTGCCGATATATCAACAACAAATGGTGGTGGAACTCCTCTTGAAAATACTAGTATTTAACTAGAATTTTCTGCACACTAGTTCGTTTTTCCCTACAGGGATATTGCAAAAGTTTCTATGTAACTGATTTACCATTTTCTATTAGACTCATATATCTATGTAGATAGCCAAACAACTAAAAAGACCTTACTTTCATACAACACGAAGTTTGCAGTGGTTGCAATTTGTAATAAGGTCACCAAAGGATTGGTGCAGATAAGAAATATCGATATCGTGGGTAGTGAGATAGCAGGCGAGTTGGCTAGAGAGGAAACACTCTCGGTACAAAACGTTATTATGGACTTGCCAGTCCCATTCAGGAAAGTAAATCATAGAGAAGAAAGACTTTTGTATCGCCAGACTAATGGTCTTTGGAAACGAACAAAAGTCAGCAATATATTGACGAAGCAAATAATGAAGAAAGCATAGGAAGGGAATGTAAGGAAAAAGGCGGAAATATTACAGGAAGCAATCTATCAGTGACCAGCAATCTATCCGACACAGTGAGGATGATCTTAGGTTAGGTAAGGTTATGGCGGCTACCGAGCTTTCGTATCAATTACACGAAGATTTTACCAAGATTCATTATGGTGCTAGAAAAATTTGACCAGTAGACTTCGTTATTCAACCACTTCAAATTTCTCATGGATGTAATAATTCCATGACTTTGAGGACGTCTCCCTTTGATTAGACCGTCTAGCAAAACAGAACAGAGATGACTGATTAGTTCCTTTACCTCATCATTCTCGCAATTTCTGGATTTCGGACAGATTGTAGTCTTATTCCACCTCAAAGCGACTTGATCATATGTAAATTCCTTGCAAAGCAGCTTTCAAGGGGCAAAAGGCGTGCCATTGCATTCTTTATTGAAACAAAAAACTGCTAGATGAGACCTCTGGGAGAGACGGTCTGCTCTGTTTGATCATCTCTTGTAAAGATCGGCGACAGTTAGCTCCCATTTAGCAATTATTTTTGGAACTGCTCAAAAAAACTCTTCAGTTGAGTCCTCTTATTTTATTTGTTTTTTTTTTACCCCTGTCGGTAGGGTATGTCTGTCATAAAAGTTCCCACAACAGTCGGGTCTTTATATCAGAACGACCCAGATTTTATCCGGCCAAGGTCTGGCATTCTCGCAATATTCCCCGAAAACCAATTGGGGTAATATTTTCTATTTCAACAACAAAAACATAAGTCTTTTTTAGAGGACTCCTCAGATGATTACTTGCATAATGAATTCTTCTTCTTTCATTTTTACTACGGAGCGCCGCAATTATATGCAGAGCTATGTATCAACTTAACACTAGTTAAATACTAGTTCATTTATGTTAGTTGCCTTTCCAAAAATTGATACTTTCATTTAGCTATAATGGGCCCATAAGTCACATTAATAACCACTTCATTTGAACCAACCATATCAAAAGACGTGAAAACATCTCTCTTAAACGAAACCAAATATCTAAGGATAATTTTATAAATCGAACGCAACTCAACTGGAGGTGTACTACAGTAGGAAGGTCGCGATAAGCTATAACTGTACCCTTCACGTGCAAAGCGGCCTGTTTTACGGCGCCATTATGTGGTGACTGGCACAAAAACCTACTTTTAGCAGCAAACTAAAGAAAGTTAAGTGGTCTGCATCTATTTTCATAACAGAGGCTTTTGCTTCCACTCCCACAAAATCCCTGGATACCCTCCTCAATTTTCTATCTCTTGACTCAACCTTGAGTGAGTTGCAGTTAAGGACAGTTGACATAGTAGCTGGATGACATCAACCCATTATCTACTTTGAAAATATATTGTCCACAAGAATCCGGAATCCCACAATAAAGCAGGCACACGATGCGGGTGTACCGTAGTCCAAAGCACATGAAAAAACTAGCCATTATTGGATGACTGAATTGGATCACGCTACACGTGAGCCAAACGCATATGGTCCGCGGTTGAATGCGGAAAGATCAGCGCACATAATTCTTTCAGGCCGGTTTTCCATCAGTAGAAAGCTAAGCATAGCATACTGTTTTGCCAAGATGTACGAAAAAAGTGGTTAACTTTTGACGCTATTGTAAGGACAAAAGAAGGGTCTGCCGAATACTATATCTGTCGCTGTTTTGTCTTCAGAAGCGCTCGACAAATAAATATTTTAAACAGTTTCAGCTAAAATAAACACTCTTATAGTTTTAATAAAGCCTACTTTTTTACCACTTATTCCAGCGATTGAGACTTTATGACAGCATTAACACACATATTCTATTTGAAGGCGTCAATCAACTCGGCCTTACCTACGTAGGCAACACACTTCACATAACTCCACAAAAAAAAAAAATTATCTGGCGGTGTTAAGTCGCACGATCTTGATACGCTCACCTAAAATTTCTATTTCAAAATTTATAGCTTCATTAAGTGTATGGCATTTAGCGCCGCTTTTGTTGGACCCAAAGACCGTCGACATCAACAACCTCAAATTTAGTCACGAAAAATTGATTAATCATGGCTCTATAGCATTCCCCATTGACTGATTTCGTAAGCTCTCAAACCAACATCCCTTCGTAAAATTTTTGCGATGCGTCGCCCGAAACGAACCATTATTTTTGTAATAAATTTGCAGTGGGTCCCCCTGAGCGAGGAATTGTCTCATGGAAAAGTATATGTCTGAACAAAACACCCTTTAAATACTCAGAAACATGCAAAATATTCGTTCACTCTTAAATTCAGCTTTGCCACCTCTTTGTGCACTCTTATGTGAACGCTTACGCTCCACAACTTCATTTCCGTTAGAGGGCAGCGGCTGTGTAACAGTGTTTAACGAATTTAAAAAGCGGAAAATTGAAATAATTTAAAACGGAAACTGTATTTCAGATAGGATTTCAGTATTTGCAAGCGTCAGGGTGTAAATCTACGTAAGGAAACGTTGAAACACACACACATGTATATATATATATATATATATATATGTGTGTATACAGAAATATCTAAATATGTATGTATGTATTTTTGAGTTACATGCATAGCTGTTCATAGTCATTAAGTAGATAATTCTTATTTTCATTATCAAGTTGAGCATCCGTTTCCGCTTTAATGCGCTGTCACGGCTTCCTGTTTGAATTATGAGAAGAAGAAAAAGTAGAAGAAGAGGAAGAAAATTATGAAATAAAATAAACATATGCGACAAATATATTAAGGAATCCCACATAATATCACATTGAGTGAATGAAGACTTCATATTTTTATACCATTTTTCTACTATCTACTCTCTCCTCTCTTTTTTTCAGACCCCACCCAATGGCGTAGCCGAAAAAGCATGTGCACTAAAAACACACATGAACATATTCACGACTAAATAAGAGCAAACCCACAAAACGAAGAGCAAGAAAAAAGTTAAAGCTCGGCTAGATAACGGCAATGGCAACAATAATAAAACAAATGAACATTAACAGAGCAACTAGAACCCACCATTAAAAACCGTAGCGCAGCAAACCAACAGCAGCAACGACACCAACGAACAAACACGTCGTCACCGCGACGAGTGAAGAAGAACCAACGAGCACACAACTAATAGCAGTCACAGCGGTAAGGCGGGGAAAAATTACGTAAGAACAAAAAACTAAAAAAAAATAATAAAAATAAATAAAAAAAAAAGCTAAACAAACGGAAGTGCCTCATATAGCAGCAGCAGCAGCAAAAGTTGGGGGAAAAATCAGAAACAGAGAAGCGCAAATGTAATCGCATACTCGATTATTCGATGCTCGTCGGTGTGGTAACAGAGACAGTAGTAACAGTAAGTGGAGCGAGAGGAGGCACAGTTAGTCGCAGTAGCCACAGCAGCCACAGCAGCTGAGTGCCGGTGCTGAGATAAGCTGCCAAGCGGAGTTGGTGGCAACGATGAAAGCACCAAAGGATGTGATAAGCAGAGTGTGAGAGAGTGTAAAGAGGAGGGGAGAAAAAGTAAGTGTTGGCATTTTATTTGGATTAGGAAGGAATCAAAGCGACAAGTACACAAAGTGAAGTGCTGACTAGATGAAGTAGCGCAGCCAAAGGGAGGCATAAAAAATTAAGCATTTTCAAAGGAACGAAAGTCAAAGGAGAACGGAAAAGTGCCCAGAGGCTTCAAAGATTTAATGATAATTTACTTAAATTAACCCAATCCATCCATTAAGAAAGTATTAAAAGAAATTTTCAAAAAAAAAAAAAGGAAAAATGAAAAAAAGATTGAGGACCGTGATGAGACAAGCAAGCAAATAAGCAATTGAGCGCGACAGGAAGGAATTCATGAAATACGAAAATTTCCACACAACAGCAGCAAAAGTTGATGTAAAAAATGCCGAAGTAAGGCGCGTTAAGCAGATACCGGATACTCAGTTACGGCTTACATCGTGTTGAAGCGCCATAATAACAACACCAACAACAGCAGAGAGGAAAAAATAAGCACAAAAAGATTATCAATAAAAGAAGAAAGAATTTATCGACATTGTAAACGAAGCACTCACACACCTTCACGACATTAACGCATACAATAACAAGCATCTGCAGTGAAAGACAGTGGTTGGATAGAAGCTACAACGCGGAAGCGCGAAAGCGGAAGCTGTCGTTGATGCTGATTGACAACGCGCCAGCGGAAGCGGGACCAGTCATAAGAGTCGCAAAATGAAGGGATTAATTTTTAGTCGAAAAGCAAACAAGCCACGGAAAAACGACGAAACCAACCGAACGCCAAAAAGAACAGTAAAAACAGCAACAGCAACAATTGCAGCAGCATGCGCGAGCACAAAAACGCAGACAGTAAAGATATGCAAAGCTGCAAAAACAAAAACCGAAACAGCAGCAACAACAAAGACAACGCCTACACATAACACACATAACGGTAACAGCAAACAGCTGACAACGCCATTAAAATGTTACAAGAATAACATGCAGCAACAGAGGAGCAGCTGCAATGGCAGTGTTAACAACAGCTACGACAACTACAGCAACAACAACAACAACAGCAGCAGCAGCAAGGGAGACACTAGCCAGTGTAGTCGCTATGTCAACTACGGCAGCCGACATTGTGGTCGTAAAGGTGACAGCAGCAGTTTAATACCCACCTACAACCAGCAACAGCATCATCAAGAACAACAACACCAACATTGCCTCGCACCGTGTGCTGAGCTGACGCACAAAATGCCGGCAACCATTTCCGTTACCACGCAAAAGCCCAACGTAAGTGTGTGTGTGCACCAGCAGCATCAGCGGATGGTCCCAAACCCCCTGGAAGGTGTTCACCACCGTCAGCGACTACAGCAACAACACCAATTAACAACAACAACAAAACCAACAGCAACATCATTGCCACCCACCAACCACCACGCACAGCCACAGCAACGCCACAAGCAAAAACAGCAAAAACAACAAAAACAAGAACAACCAGCAACAACCGCCACAACTGTCATCGCTTGTTTGAGAAAATCTTGGTCAACATTTCTGTCATCTCGCCTAAATTTCCACCAACATCTCGGTCATATCAGCCTGACTGTCCTTGTGCTGGCCTCCATTTTAATATATTCATGCCCATGCACATCAGCCTTGCGCCTCACAAATGGCGGCAATACCAAAACTTTATCCGCTAATAAGGAGCAATTAAATATTGGCCTAATTGCACCGCACACAAATTTTGGCAAACGTGAATATTTACGCGCCATTAACACCGCTGTGCAGGGTCTGGCGAAGACACGCGGTGCCAAGCTGACGTTTCTCAAAGACTATTCATTCGAGCCGCGCAACATACACTTTGATATGATGTCGTTAACGCCCAGTCCGACAGGTGAGTTGGTCTGTGTGTGTGTGTGTGTGTGTGTGTGTGTGTGTTTATGCTATAAATGTTTATTTTTAGAAATTTTATATGCAGGCAAGTAACCTTCACAAGTGGTGAAGAACTCATCAAAATGGAAATTAATTTTTATTGCAAAACATTTTATTAATTACAACAAATTTATGAATCAACAAATTGTTTTGTATTCAGCATTAGGTAATATACATAAATAATACGCGACGTTGTTATGAAAGAATTTCGAATTTTTGGATTGCAGGAACACAGACAAGTATTTTGAGTTGAAAATTCTTAATTTTTTGTGATTTTAATTTATTTCGTAACAAATTTTTTGAAAAAATCAGTAATCAAGTAAGAAGTTCGTTCGGTTTTTATCTAAGAGATGTCGTTATTGTCCATAGTATTAGTGTTACGTGTCGCAGCGTGTCACACTACACGGCGCTGAAAACGTTTTTATTTGCGCTAAAAGTCTGTCCTTGACAGTTTCTCGATTGATTGACTCAGTACGTTGTGAGAGCTCGTCAAAGATGGACACCAGCAAAGAGAAAATTCGCTACATTTTACAATTTTTCTTCGATCAAGGCGAAATAGCAGCCAAAGCGGCTGAAAAAATTTATTTAGTTAATGGGCCTGATACTGTAAAAGAACGTGTAGCACAAAAGCGGTTTGCTAGGTTCCGTTCCGGTAATTTCGATGTCAAAGATGCACCACGCGTTGGGAGGCCTGTCGTCGAAAATTGCGATACAATCCTGGAAATAGTGAAAATAGACCGTCACGTGAGTATTTATTTAATTGCTGTGGAACTAAGGATAAGTCAAAAAACTGTTTGGAACCATTTACATAACCTTGGGTTCGAAAAGAAGCTCGACGTGTGGGTGCCACACGAACTAACGCAAAAATAACATGATGGACCGAATTTTCATTTGCGAATCGCCGCTGAATCGCAACAAAATCGACCCCTTTCTGAAACGGATTATGACTGGCGATGAGAAATGTGTCACTTACGATAACATCGAGCGCATACGGTCGTGGTCAAAGCTCCAGGAAGCGGCCCAGATGGTGGCCAAGACCAGATTGACGGAAAGGAAGGTTTTGCTGTGTGTTTGGTGCTATTGGCAAGGAATCATCTACTACGAGCTACGCCCCTATGGTCAAACGCTCAATTCGGCCTACTAATGTCAACAAATGGACCGCTTGAAGGCTGCACTCATCCAGAAGAGGTCATCTTTGCTCAATAGAGGCCGAATTGTGTACCATCAGGGCAACGCCAGGCCACACACGTCTTTGGTGATGCGCCAAAAGCTAAAGGAGCTCGGATGGCAGGTCGGAATGTACCCATCTTATAGTCCGGATCTGGCACCAAGTAATTACCATCTTTTCCTATCCATGGCATAAGCGCTTAATGGTGAGAAGTTGGCCTTAAGAGAGGCCTGTGATAATTGGCTCTCCGAGTTTTTTGCCAATAGGGACGCAGCCTTCTACGGGAGAGGTATAATGAAGTTGGCATCTCGTTGGCAACAAGTTTACGAACAAAACAGCGCATACTTGACTTAAATCGGACAAATGTACACAAAGTTATCATATTTTGAAAAATCAATAAAAAACCGAACGAACTTTTTACTGGACCTAATATTGTAGGAATTCAAAATAATTAACTTTTATTTTACTCAAAGTGATAAATACTGCAAACTTGATGTAACTATCCTCTTAAATTCCTTCCACAAACTTTTGTTTTCGATTATTTTTCGTTAGTAGCCCATTCCATTTCTTTTACATGGAACTGTAGGTTCAAATTTTTGTATTCAGCCCAATTCAAATGGTTCCAAATGGTTGGTTTTGCAATCTTTAGCTTTTGAACAATCTACACGACGGTCTGGCTCGACAATGTCCGTGATTTTATCGACGTTTTCGAAAATTGGCCTTCCACTCCATGAAGCATCTTTGACATTAAAATTACCGTTTTGAATTCAAAATTGTGTATAATTGACTGTAATAGCATCAGGACCATAATCGCTATTCACATTTTCTATATACCGATTTCTCATCACTCCTCTAATAAGCAAATCTGCATTCGTGGCCCCGCCGCTTTTGATCGCGAAAGTGATTAATTTTTAATAGGCTGTTCAGTGCCTAAATAAAGGTTATCTGCTTTAGCTCTCTAAACGGATAAGAGAAGAAAATAAGGGATTAGTGGTAAGCACAGGCTAGCAAGTTCTTCTGTCAATTTTTTTCTTTTTTTTTTGCCAGTAAATGATTTTATTTTATAGAAGTAATAACATAGCATCAAATCCTTGGAAAATCACCTAAGCTAAGTGAAAAATATAATATTTTGTAATACATAATCCAGAAGCTGATCGAAACTTTTCTTTAAGTAAAGTTTACAAATTATATATAAAATTCGTTGAAATATATCAAGCGAGTGGAGCTGTTGTTGCTGTTCTAAACGCAAAAATATTCCCCAAAGTACTTTTTGGAAAATGTTGCGGGAGTGACAGTCCTTGGCCGGATAAAATTCCAGGTCGTTCCGGTATAAAGACCCGACTGTCGCGGAAGCAATTGGATTTTAGTCGCCTTTTCCGACTGTTATGAATTACCGCGGGTAAATTCCTGAACCCCTAACCCGACAGGGGTTAGCGAGCGGAGCTGATGCTGTTTGCTAAAGAAGCTAAAATATCTCAATTTCTTTTTCCTTCACTCAGTGTTGTCATTTAAGATTTTTTTTCTGGGTAGATTCAACTTTTCTTTCCGACGTTGAGTTGAAAAAAATTTCTTCTTTTCTTAGATTTTAACAAAAAACTGTTTGCCCTTCTCAGCTTGGTTTATATTTAGGACAAACTAATTTTTAAGTTTTTACTTTTTTTTAGCTCTCTTCAAAAATTTGTTGGACTTCTTTTAGTTTCACTTTTTGGCCCAATTAGTTCGACCGATGAAAAAAATCCTACTTTTCCACAGCTAAATATCCTGGTGCTGAGACTGATGCCAAGCTGAGCTGGCTAATGAGCGTTGAGAAACAAATAAAGAAAGCTTTTCCTAGAAACCTCAAAATAAGGTCATCTTTTGGAGAAATAAGGGATTATTTTTTACTACGCCTAATGCATGTACGAATATAAATTTTAACTTATATGACAAAAAGGGAAAATAGTTATTCTTGGAAAAAGTTCTAAAAAATTATATTAAACGAATTTTATTAATTAAATGTACGCAACATGTTTTGGTATTAAACTTTTTAAGACTCTCTTTAGCATATTGAATTCCTACCATTCATTGAATAATCCTGCCAAGCGAAACTGCACAGGCATTAGCATCCAAATTGAAGTTTTTTGGAAATAATCTTTTATTTTCTTTTCATTTTTTTATTATTATTTTATTTTATTTTTTTGTTTTCATACATATTTAGTAATAACGAAGTCTGCCAAATCAAAAGCAAAGCACAGGCAATATACCAGCATTATTTGTCTACTTCCAACTAAGGATAAAATAGAAAATTCCATTTAACAATTCGTAGTTGAGTTGAGTGTGTTGGTGAGTTTACTTATGCATGTATGTATGTAAAGAGTAAACGAAAAATATAAATACAGAAATAAAGTACAGGTAGTTTATGTTTTAAATTGGCAACGTGAAGTCTATGTATATAGATTTAATATATTTCGGTGCTCGTGTTACTCTTTACTCATTTTTCTTTTCAAAAAAAAAAATTCATTCATGTCCTTCAGTAAACTTTGAAATCGTGCCGCAGCAGATGATGGAGAAATTAGAGTAAGGATAAATGATGCGCCTCTGAACCTTGGCTAGGATATTCGTAGTGGTGCTCCCTCAGGTCAAATCAAATGTTGTGTTGAGATAATTTTACTGTTATTTATTTCGAAAAATTGTATTTTTATTTCAACTTTTATTTTGAAACTCACATTGATTTTTTTTAGTCAACTTAAATAAATAAAATAAATTACATTTTAGGAGAATTATTTTGTTACACAAATAATACAAGCATACAATTTATTTATTGATTTTCGTTTCTTTGTTCACCATTTTTAAGAAGATGGACATTTTTTGCGAGCTACGAATGTCTGATATTTTTTTGCAGATAAAGATAAAATATATTTTCTGATCAGTAAATTTCGAGAAGTCATTTTTATGTATATTCTTATGTATATTCTTCCCCTATACGATACTATTGGTGATATGATAGATGATGGACGATAGACGTTAGATGTCATAGATAGATGAGCTGTAGCTTACTCAATTGCCGATTTCACATTGAGAAAAAATTATGCAGTACCTCTTCACTGAAATATGACCATTAACCATTTTTAGTGTTTTCGTTATTTAAGTACTGTTTCTATGAACTAAAGGCTTTTTAATTATTTTGAGAAACGTTACTAATGTGATGAGGGCATTTTCTTCGTAATTAGATCAGGTAAAAAAAATTGTTAATCTCAGTTCCACCGTCGAAAAGCACGTCACCAAAACACTATAAATTAGCGGAAAACATAAGGAAGTGATTTTGCAACTAAAATAATTTCAAAAATATTCGTGAAAGGTTTTGTGAGATAGTGTCGGCGCCGGTAGCCAGGTAGTTAGCCATTCGGAAGGCGCGGCTTCAAACTCCGTGCGACCAACAGCCAAAAGTTATTAAAATTTAATTTAAATAGAAAATCAAATTAAATATTCTAATTACGGTCACCCCTCGGCAGGCAATGCCAACCCCTCCGAGTGTATTTCTGACAAGAAACAAGGGCTCCTCATAAAAAATGCCATCAGCCGTTCGGAGGCGGCTTAGTATATACTGCAGGTTCCTCCATTTGTTGGAAAAACATCAAGATGCAAAACCACAAATTAGAGGAGGATCTCAGCGGGATATTGCTTCAGCGGTTACAAAGCGCCAATTATATGTATACATATATTTGCATATATAATATTATGGGCAAATAAAATCATAATTTAATTTTCAATTGATTTGTGCGGAAAAAAAATTTGACATCCATCTGTGTCTAAGC